ATATTCTTAACATTTTTAAATACAAATGACTGGGGGATTATATTAACCACTGAGTACAGTACCAAAAGTGTTAATTTTTTGGATTTAACGATTTTTATAGAGGACAATCGTATAAAAACGCAAACTTTTTTTAAACCAGTTGATGTGAACAATTATATCTACCTCAATAGCTGTCACTTCTCTCCATGGCTAAAAAATATCCCGAAAGCCCAATTGATGAGAATACGTAGAAACTGTACAGATAACAACACCTTCGAAATCCAAGCCATTAAGATTAAAAAAGACTTTATGGAAAGAGGATATGAGGAAACCTCTCTTATGAACACTATAAAACAAGTAAAAACTATGGATAGATCATCTTTATTAAAATATAAATTTAGAGACAAAAGAGATGACAGTATTTTACCTTTTATTTGCAATTTCAACCAAGAAAGCTATAAAATTAAACAAATAATAAATAAACACTGGCCCATATTACGCAATGATCCCATGTTACATTCCATACTACCGGAGAAACCGAAACTTGTGTACAGAGGAGCCCCTAATTTGAAACAAAAGTTAGTCCACAACCATATAAAGAATAAGGTATCCACCCCTTTCTTTCAAAAAGAGGGTTTTTTTGGTTGCGGGCAATGCCTGGCTTGTAGGAATACAAAAAGTGTTAAAAGACATATAACCGAATTTTATGACCCAAAAGGGGAAACTAAATATAAAATAAGACAAATGATTACATGTTTCTCGAAAAGGGTCATATATATATTGAAATGTTCATGTAACCTCTTTTATGTAGGCAGAACAAAGCGCCCTCTACAGATAAGGATAAATGAACATATCCGGAACATAAAAAGAGGTTTTGATAAACATAGCGTTTCGGAACATTTTAATCTAGTACATAACAGAGACCCCCAACATTTAGAATTTATGGCAATTCAAAAGGTTATGTTAAACTGGCGAGGGGAGGATGAAATAAGAAAATTGGGAAGAATTGAGACTAAGTGGATTTTCAATCTAAACACTTTAGCTCCGTTTGGACTAAATGCGGATTTCGAATTGTGTCACTTTTTATAAATATTCATGCAAAGAGGTCACAAAAAGATATAAGAAAGCCCTCTTTTTCACTTTTTCAATTTTTTATTAATAATTAATTCAAATCATCTATGTCTGGATTTATTTATTTATTTATTTATTTATTTATTTTTTTTTCCCTCTTCAATTTAAATAAATTACTAAATTATGATCAAATACAATATTTAACCACTATCCAGATTGGAAATCCACTGAAAATAATTGCACTGATTTAATATAAACACAATTGCACATTTGCACATACCTAGTTTATATGAATCTATTTATTTATTTTTTTATTTATATGTTTCAAATATGCACTTTAAGGTCACTAACTTAAGATATATTGGAGAATTATGCTTGCAGAAAGTATGCACTGAAAAGGACTATGAATTTTACAATACATGTATCTATTTATTCATTTTTACATGTTTTAAATATGCACTTTAAAGACACTAACTTAAGATATGTTGGTGAGTTGTGATTACAGACAGAATGCACTGAGGAGGACTATGAACTTTATAATCCATGAAAACCGGAAGTGACGCGACGGCATTTGCGGCCGCGTCACACTGAATTTAGATCGGTAAAACCGGAAGTGATGAATCACCCGCAAAGCATTATGGACTCGGTAGTTCAAAATAACCGGAAGTGACGTGACGGAACTCCGGCCACATCATACACACATATGGGATTGGATAATTGAGAAAACTGGCGGGAAATTCAAGCTTTTTAAGGAGAAAGAAACAGAGACTGTTTTGAAGCTGACTGAGGAAGCCGTTTTTACCGGCGAAACGCGTTTTGGCTCTTAAAGTGAACCTATATATATATATTTTTTTTAATGCAAATTTTTATTGATTTTCAAGTATATGGGGTACAGAAAAGAGAAGGGAATTATAAGGATAACAATGGGGGAAAGCAGACAATATTGACTTTTACAAGGTTTGTTATCAAGTTTTTCGACAGTGACATTTAGGGTTTCGCAGGCGGCTGTGTCCGCAATAACAATATACCTGATATACACATACTTAAGGTTGTTTAGTATAGTTTTACTCTCACGTATTGTTTACCCGTTGTTGGGTGTTTGTGGGTAAAGCAGTCTGGTGCGGGAGGATAAAGGTTGGTTCTGTAAGCACGGTGTTGCGTGCTGGTACAGTCTGTCAGGCCATATTTAACGGTCTCAAGGTGGATTTTGGTGATTTGTGGCTTGGTCGTATAAGCATGTCCACTGTTTCCATGTTGAATGGAACTGTTGTGATTCTATACTATGGGTCATCGTCATTCGTTCATAGACATGGTATTGTTGAATCTTGTCCCATAGTTGTGTTTTAGATGGACATAGGTGCGACTTCCAGTTCGTCGCTAGAAGGTTCCTGGCCGCCAGTATCGTGATGGCGCACACCTGTCTGTGTTCTCTAGCTAGGTCACTGGGGAACATAAGCATGAGGTATGTTTGCGGGCTTGGTAGTAGGTTTGTCACGCCCAATTTATACAGCAATCTCCTAACCTCTGTCCAGAGGGGTTGTATCACTGGACATGTCCACCATATGTGGAGGAATGTACCAGTGTCCCTTGAACACCTCCAGCATGTCGGTGTGGCACTGGGGTATATTTTATGTAACCGACTTGGCGTCATGTACCACCTATACAGTAGCTTCCTATGTGCTTCTATGTGTGTGTAACATCTAGTGAGTTTTGAGAGGCTATTTATTGCTCTGACCCAGTCGTCCTCTGAGAGGTGAAGGGAGCAGTCTTCCTCCCATTTAGTCTTGCAGAGGGGGGTGTGTTGTGGTAGTGTGGTCTCCCACATTTTGTAACAGAGGGAGATGGCTTTTGGTTTATTTGGTGCGGCCCAGCATCTGTCTAAAATCCCGCCCGCCACCAGTGATTGCTCCCGAGTGTTGTCGTGTAGGTTCACATGAGTCAGTATGGTCCCTTTGAGTCTTAGGTAGGTAAATACCTCCCTCATCGGTAGGTGCCATTTGGCCTGTATATCCGCGAATGCTATTACGCCTTTATTGTCTACTAGGTGCTGGATGTTGGTGATTCCTGCCTTAGTCCACCTTGTTAGAGGGAGATTGGGGGATGCGGTTCTTAGGGCAGTCAGTGGTGCCCGGGGATGGAAGGAAAGTTTGCACCCCATTGTGGCCATAAACGTGTCCCATGTACTAAGTGTCAGAGACGTTGAGTGAAATAGGTCTAGTTTGGGGATCCGTAGGTGTTTAGGCGTCCATAGGACATCAACTATATTTAGTGTTTTTAGTTGGGCGTTTTCCATGTCTACCCAGCTGATGTCCCCTTTAGGAGAGTGTAACATTATGCCGGCTGTTAGCGCCGCGGCTTTATAGTATTGGTTAATGTTTGGTAGCCCCACTCCTCCTTGTTTGACCTGAGTGTACAAAAGTCTGTGAGGGATCCTGGGCTTTTTATTGTCCCATATAAAGGTGTTGCACGTGTGTTGTATGCTCTTAAGCAGAGGTTGTGGTACCGTGAGAGGTAGCATACGGAAAACATAAAGGATCTTGGGTAATATAGACATTTTGAAGGCTTTAATCCTTCCTAGCCAGGATAGGTGTACATGTTTCCATTTTAGGGTGTCCGCCTTGCACATGTGTGGTAAGGGTAGGTAATTTAATTTTACGATTTTTGCTATGGAAGTTGCGATTTTGACCCCTAGGTATGTGAGGGATGAGAGAGGGATGAGAGTCTCCAGTCAAATTGGTGTTGTCGTTGTAGTGTCTGCGTGCGTTCTAAGGGTAGGTTAACCGTCAGTGCCTGAGTTTTATCTTGGTTAAGTTTATAGTGGGAAACTAAGCCAAAGTCGGTAAGTGTGTTCATAAGGTGTGGCAATGACTTCTCTGGGTCTGTTAATGACACCAAGACGTCATCGGCAAACAGTGCCAGTTTGTGTTCTTGGCCTGTCACTGTTACTCCTCTTATGTCAGGATTCGTACGGATCTTTAACGCCAGAGGTTCCAGCGAGAGAATGTAGAGGAGGGGGGACAAGGGGCAACCTTGGCGCGTCCCATTAGTAATAGAGAATTTGTCAGACGTAAAGCCTCCGTTGGAGACCCACGCCGCTGGTGCGCTATACAGCGCCGCTATCCCTCTAATCATTTCGGGCGGAAATCTGTACCTCCCCAGGACTTCAGACATGTACTTCCAATTGAGGCGGTCGAATGCCTTCTCCGCGTCTAGCGCCAAGAGAAGGCCCCCTGTGTTGTTTTTTTCCATATGTGTCAGTATGTTGAGGATTCGTCTGGTGTTGTCTGAGCCCTGCCGTCCTCTGACAAACCCTGACTGGTCGTTATGCACTAAGTTTCTGAGGAGTGGTGCTATTCTGTTGCTAAGGATCTTGGCGTAGATTTTAGCATCCCCATTTAATAAGGAGATGGGTCTGAAATTTTTACAGTGTGTCGGTGGTTTTCCTGGCTTGGGGAGGGTGGATATGTGTGCTAGAAGTACTTCAGCCGGTAGGGCTCCTCTGTCATTACTCTGTCTGTATAGTTTCAACAAGTACGGGGAGAGGGTATTCGCAAATAGTTTGTAATAGGCATTGGTGAGACCGTCTGGTCCAGGTGATTTGTCAACGGGTAAGTCTTTGATTACCGAAGTGATCTCTTCTAAGGAGATAGGCTGTCGTAGTGATTGTATTGCTGTCGGTGTCAGGGCGGGCAAGCAGAGGTCTTGTAGGAATCCGTCTATGTCCGCTACAGTTGGGACCTTAGTGGTACCCTCTTCACTTAAATTGTATAGCTGACGATAGTAACTTGCAAACATATTAACAATATCTCGTGGATCAATAGTTTTGTGACCTTTTCCATCGGTGAGGTAGGCAATCCTGGAGGCGATCATTTTTTGTTTTAATTGCGCCGCTAGCTTAGCGCCTGCTTTATTCCCTGCCGCGAAGAATTTGTGTTTTGATTTTCGTAAGAGGTAGGTTGTTTTGGTTAACTCTATATCTCGTAATTGTGTTTGCAGGCTCAAGAGTTTTCGTTGTGTCTCAGGGGTGGGTGCATGTTTGTTGTTGTGTGTGGTGTGTTTGATCTCACTGATAAGGGCTAAGTATTGTGCTCTTTGTGTCTTGTAGGCATGGCTGGCATGTTTTATGAAGCTGCCTCTAATGACCGCCTTGTGTGCTAGCCAGACATAATCCGGATCAGTGTTGTGCTTATCATTGTCCTCGAAGTAGTTTTGTAGGTCCTGTGTGACTTCCTGGACTATGTGTGTGTTTGTTAACAAGGTGTTGTTTAACCTCCAAGTTCTCTGGCCAGTCTGAGGGAACTGGTCCTTGATCGTTAACGTGATTGGTGCGTGGTCGGACCACGTGATGTCCCCTATGGTAGTGTCTAGTATCTTGAGAAGGGAGGTGGTTCTGACCAAGAACCTATCAATTCTGGAGTAGCTATTGTGTACCGCTGTATGACATGTGTAATCAGTTTCGTTGGGATGTGTAATTCTCCAAGGGTCTACGTAATCATGTGTTGCTAGGATATCGCATATGTTATGCGATTGTGTGAGCCGTTTCTTAGAGGTGTTGGGTGTTATAGTATGTGAGGCAGAGGAATCTTTAAAACTATCTAGAAGAAAGTTGGTATCGCCTCCAAGTATTACCTCCCCAAAGCTGTACATATTCAACAAGGCAAATATTCGGTGCAAAAACATTTCTTGGTTAGCGTTGGGTCCATATACATTCATTAATGTGAAGGGGTTGTTGTTAAGGTGACACTGAATGATGAGATATCTACCTGTCTTATCGCTAATCTTACGGACCAGCTCAAAGGTGACGTTCTTGCTTATTAAAATAGAGACTCCTCTTTTTTTTGTGGAGTAGCAGGAGTGGTGATCTATTGGAAACCAGGGGGAGTTAAATTTAGGCCGTGAACCCCATTTAAAATGGGTTTCTTGAAAGAAGGCTACCTGCGCCTTACATTTTTTGGCTTCTAAAAGTGCCAGTCTTCGCTTATGGGGCGTGTTCAGCCCTTTGGCATTGAGAGAAAGTACAGTGATTGACATCCTCACCGCTATAATCAGGTGGGCAGGGAGGTAACGGCTATACCGTGCTACTCAGCCCCTAGTGTCACCTTATTTCGTCAAGTGCGTGGGTGGGGGTTGGAGGGGTGCGGTAGGGTTCAACGTATAACACTACAACTTGAACTATATACAAAACCCGTTAGCCGGGTGGCTTAGTGCAGAAATCTGCCGACGGGTAAAGAAATGGCTTACTAAGTAAGCCGAGTGGGGCTCTGTGGGTGCTGGTAGGTATTACCTGTTACGGTTTTCCTATGTTACCTAGAATAAGAAAATTTGTTTGGTTTTTTTTTTTGTTTTTTTTTTTTGTTTTTTGTTTTTTTTTTGATTATAGTGCCCTGAGTTACCGGGCGCAACGCTATACGTGTGCGTCCCTCTAATGATATACCGTATAGGTAATATTTCTTAACAGTACAATTAAGTTTAGGAAAAAAGAATAACAGTGTCAATTAAGTAACGTAAACAGTAAAGCGGTTCTCCGCCTGGGTGGGCTCTCGGCTGTGAGACACCTTGCAAGTGAGCACAGCTGCGAGGGTGCACCGGGGGGGAACTAGTTGTATAGTTCTTGTGTGGGATACATATCTGTACTCCATCAGTGGTGTTCTACATCCTTGGGCCTCGCTTGATGGTATGGCGTCTTCTGTGGTTCTGCCGCGTGCCATGGGACAGGTCGGTAGTCTCGGGGTTGTTCTCTGGGTGATGAGGGTGCTGGAGAACTGGCTACGTCAAGTCGAGCCATTGGGATGTTCCATTCTTTGAGCAATTTTGCGCCATCTCTTGGGGTAAAGATTACCAAATCCACTCCATTTCGTTTCAGTAGTATTTTCGTGGGATATCCCCATTTGTACGGGATAGCAGCATTCCTAAGCGCTGCGGTTACAGGTGCAAACGCTCGTCTCTTGGTCATGGTTGCCGCTGACAGGTCAATAAACAGTTTGATATCAGCAAACGGCTTTGGCAATGATGTGTTAGATCTGGATGCTTGCATTAAGCGGTCTTTGACCTCAAAGTAATGGATTCTGGTGATTACATCTCTCGGTGTAGTTGGAGGTAATTGCTTCGGCTTCGGTAATCTGTGAGTGCGATCTAAGCGCAGGTCTGAGGTTTCCAATGCCGGAATGAGCGCCTTGAACAGCTCTTTAACGAATGTGGCCAGATCTTGAGGGCCTACTGTTTCAGGGACACCTCGTAGCCGTATGTTGTTTCTCCTGTCCCTGTCCTCGTTATCAGCGATTTTGCTCTCTAGGAATTGTACCTTTCGCTGCAATGTTGTGTGCGCTTCTGCCAGCTCATTATGGGCCTCTCTTAACCCCTCCGTTGCCTCCTCCAAGTGTGCTGTTCTGTCTCCCAGGGCCTGAATGTCTGCCCTTACGTCCGCCGCCATCTTGGAAAAATCCGACCTCAGGTTAGTCTGGAGCGACTGTAGCATGCTGCTCACCGAGGCATCGGTGGCTAGGTGGTTGTTGGTGATGCTAGGGGGGTCCAGGCTTTCTCCACTCTCGTGATCCGAGGCGGAATAGTGCGCTCCGTCGGCACCATCTTGGACGCCATTGTTCCCCATCGTGAGGTGGGAGTGCAGCGTCTTCTGTTTTAGTTTTTTGGAGGATTTAGTGGTCATGTCCTCCCCTGTTCCCTCGCCGGCTTATGGGAGATGTGGTGGGTGAGTATCGCTGGTTTCCACGCTGTGTAAGCCCACGTAATGGCGGAGCTTCCAAATTATGCGACTGCTGCCATGCGGAGTTAGGCCACGCCCATATATATATATTTTTAAGGTCACATACTTTTATATCATACTGTTTTTTACTGTTTTTTATTTTCTAGAAATAATAGTGTATTTTTATAAGATTACTTGATAATAAATTGTTCCCATTTTTTATCCATCCATTGTATCCTACAAAAGTAATTTAAAGGGGCAGTGTCACCCCAAAATTTGACACTGGGCAAATATACTTAGAGCCGGTTACCAAGGGCTCTAAAAAAGGTGAGCATTTCTCTATTTCTACTTATATGAACAATATTTCGATTCTGGGATGCTACACTTAGTGTGAAATATTTGTATCTTTTATATACCCGGTGGAGAATATCTTCATAAGGAGAGAGGGGTCGTGTGTTCTACCCAAAAGACACAGACGTGCAGAAGTTTAGAGCCTAATACTAGAAAAGGCTCTAACAAATGTGAGTGCACATATTCACTTATTTCATCGATCACTCTATTTAAAGACATATTACACTATCATTTGTATATGTTCTTTTTGTTCTCTTTTTTATGTATGAATTGTATTAAGAGAAGCGAAAAAGGGTAAGAGTTCCGAGAACATACTTACTCAGCACTTATATAGCGCTGCACTCACTTAAGGAACTCTAGATCTGGATGGTGGCAACATCATCCAAATCAAAAAGTTCTTTTGCGTTTTGGTGACAACAATAAAGAGGTCTTTAGTATATAAATATTTAGCTGCATAACACATAGAT